CCTGGGCCGTGGCTCCCGGGTCAGGGGGTTTAAGATTTTTGGCGTCTGCCTGACCAATCCCAGTGGCTGCCTGGTGGGGTCTGGGTCCCTGGGCTCTGCTGGGTCCCCGGCGGGGGTGGTCGCCCCTGGGTACCGGGTCGCCCCTGGGTACCGGGTCGCTGGGTGCCGGGCTCGGCCGGCTAGGGGGTGGGAGGCTGCGGGCGGGCCTGTGGGCTTGCTGCCGATATCTCCCGGGACTCTGCCGGCTGCTGGTTGTGGCCCCCCGGGGCGATCCTCTGTGCCTCTCGAGGGGGGCGGGGGCCTTCCTGGTTGCAGTCTCCTTGGGGTTCCTGTGTTCTGGGGCAGTGCCTGGATCTCTGGGACTTGGAGCTCCCCCCGTCTCCTGCGCATCTTTGGGGGGCAGATCTGTGGTCCCTCACACTCTCTATTGGACGCTCCTATACAGAAACCTTACATAAACAAGCGCATGTTCACACACAGGTGCTCTCATAAGTATGGACATGGGCACGTTCAACACAGGTCTTAAGGCTATGGTGGGCACTTAATGCACTGTGATTTATTATCGTGTGATTGTTCAGTTAAACAATGTTGATTATATATTTCTTCATCAAGTTGACGCAGCAATAGCTTGCTCTTGTTGTATTGTTGTTGTGTCCCATTTTTTACTTTATTTTATTTTTTTCTCTTTCTGCTGGTCTAGAAGCAGACTCTTGTTCATTACTGTTTATTTTTGTGGAAATTGACGGCATTGTTTTGTAAACCCAACAATCCCCTCCGTGGTAGCAGGAAGCCTTGTATATGGTAATTAAACAATAAAACACCTGCGGCTTAGTCTGGTGCGGCTTATATGTAGAACAATCTGTAATTTCTCCCAAATTTTGCTTGTATGGCTTATATTCAGGTGTGTGTTATAGTTCGGAAAATATGGTAGATGTTGTCGGAAACACACAACAAGTCAACTCTCGACTGACTTGTTGTGGGAAACAGGTAATAATGGCTCTTTGATGGGAAAAGGTTGCCGGCCCCTGCACAAACCCCACAGGGAGTCAAACACCTCAAACTCACCCCACGCTCGCACTGCCACTCCCACCCCTACCACCAGCACCCTCCACCAAGGGTGTCCCATGACCCACAGTAGACCCTGAACCCACAATCCCCCGCAAACATACTGCCCGCAAACATCCTCGGGGGACACATCAGAAAAACCCAAAAGGTCAGCGCAATTGCTGTCACCTTGCAAGCCACATCGGAATTGTTGGATGCCCATTCTTCACCCTCCACAAGGCCTCAATGAGAAACACCAAAAATGTTCTTTTATTCCTCCCAACCACCACACCCACCCCTTCATCCCCACCACCAGTTGACAGAGGCACAGTACAAGGCCCGGATGTACCACCATTCCATACCCCCACTCAACTCACTGCTTCAACATAAGACACCTTATGCTCGGCCTGAAACTGCCCCACCTCCACCGCCATCCTATATGCAACACAACCACTATAAGCCACTTGATGGTTCCCACCACAGTTACATCAGTGGAGCGGTAGATCTCCTGCCCTCATGGTCACTCCTGCACCTCTGACACTGCACCCCCACCACACAGGCACCGGCCACGACTATTGCCCTAGCACCTAAAACACAGCAAAGGAGGTTCTTCGAACGCCTTGACCATGTAACTAAGGAAACCCAACTTGACACGAGCAAGGAGCTCCAGCGTGTCGAAAGTAATCAGCAGCAGAGTGGACCCACTCCTACACAGGGAGTCAAACACCTTCGACTCCTTAGTTCGAAATGCCATACACCACATCCTTAACCAACCAACCACACCTCGACTCGACTATCTTTTTGTCTCTAGAAGTCAGGTGGAGGCAGCTGGAGAGACTGAACAGGAACAAGGCTGCAGGTCCAGATGGTGTCAGCCCCAGAGTACTGAAGGCCTGTGCAGAGCAGCTCTGTGGGATTCTGCAGCACCTCTTCAACCTCAGCCTGGCCCAAGAGAAGGTTCCAGTCCTGTGGAAGACATCCTGCCTTGTTCCAGTTCCAAAGAAAACTCGCCCATCAGTCAATGACGACTCCAGACCGGTTGCCCTGACATCCCACATCATGAAGGTCCTGGAGAGACTCCTGTTGGTCCACCTGAATAAGCAAACTAGAACATATCAGGACCCGCTGCAGTTTGCTTATCGCCATGGAGTTGGAGTTGAAGATGCCATCATCCAGCTACTTCAACCAATCCTCTGTCATCTGGACAAAGCAGGCAGCACTGTCAGGGTCATGTTCTTTGATTTCTCCAGTGCATTTAACACAATCCAGCCTGATGTACTTTGCCAGAAACTCCAGAAGACACAGGTGGGGCCTCAACTATCGCCTGGATTAAAGACTACCTGACAAACAGACCACAGTTTGTGAGGCTGAAGAACTGCACATCAAACCAGGCCATCAGTAACATTGGAGCACCACAGGGGACTGTACTCTCACCATTCCTTTTCTCCCTGTACACCTCAGACTTCCAGTACAAATCAGAGACCTGTCATCTACAGAAATACTCAGATGACTCTGCAGTTGTCGGGTGTATCAGAGATGGACAGGAAGCTGAGTACAGAGAGCTGGTGGAGCGCTTTGTGGCATGGTGTGGAAACAATCATCTGACCTTGAACGTGAACAAAACAAAGGAGATGATTTTAGACTTCAGAAGAAACAGGGTGGAGTCAAACACTGTTTCCATCATGGGAGAAGAAGTGGAGGTGGTTGAGGAACACAAACACCTTGGAGTTCACCTGGACAACAGATTGGACTGGAGAAAGAACAGCGAAGCCGTTTACAAGAAGGGACACAGCAGACTGCACTTCTTGAGGACGCTTAGGTCCTTCAATGTCTGTAGCAAGATGCTGCAGATCTTCTACAAGTCTGTTGTTGAGAGTGTAATCTCTTCAGCCATCGTCTGTTGGGGTAGCAGCATCAGAAGCAGGGACCTGAAAAGGCTCAACAGCCTAATAAAAAAGGCTGGTTCTGTTCTGGGGACGACTGTGGAACCGCTGGAGGAGATAATGCAAAGAAGGATTCTCCAGAGAATCAAGAACATGATGGACAACCCTGAGCATTCTCTTCACAAGACTGTCCGACAACGGAAGAGTGTCTTCAGTCAGAGGCTTCTTCAGTTTGGCTGCAACACTGACCGCTACTGGAGATCCTTCCTGCCAACAGCCATTGTAATATACAACAACTCTTTGATGACTTTATTATTATTATTATTATTATTATTATCATTATTATTATTATTATTATGAGCTACTACAGCAATCAATTTCCCTCTGGGATTAATAAATTATTTTTGAATTGAATTGAACTGAATTGAATAAATTGCCTGTATTTGATATAGTGCCTTCTAGAGTCCTGGAACCCCCCAAGGCACTTTACAACACAATCAGTCATTCACCCATTCACACACACATTCACACACTGGTGGGGATGAGCTACGATGTAGCCACAGCTGCCCTAGGGCGCACTGACAGAGGCGAGGCTGCCGAGCGAAGGTGCCACCGGTCCCTCTGACCACCACCAGCAGGCAACGTGGGTTGTGTCTTGCCCAAGGACACAACGACAGCGACAGACTGAGTGGGGCTCAAACCTGCAACCTACCAATTACAGGGCGAGCACTTAACTCCTGTACCACCGTCGTGCCACAGGGTGGTTGCCGAATAATGTGAGGTGCATTACCACCACCAACTGGTAAGATGTGTGAATAGACAGACAGACTGGTGGAATTTTGAAGGTCGAAAAGGAAATCCTACAAACCTGTTTAACCTGGGATTTGAATGACATGTCCTGGTCAAAGATAACACCAAGGTTCGTTACTTTGTTCGTGGAGACTAATTTATTGCCGTTCAGGTCAGGTGATTGACTAAGCAGTTTCCATTTCTGAATTTCCGGTCCAAAGATCTGAACTTCCGTCTTGTTTTGATTTAAAAGCAAAAAGTTTAGAGTCATCCAATTTTTTTATGTCTTCAAGACAAGCCTGTAATCTACCTAATGGATTAGGTTCATCAGGGTTAATGGATAAATATAACTGAGTATCGTCAGCATAACAGTGGAAGTTTATCCCATGCTGTCTAATGATTTTACCAATTGGAAGCTTATATGTAGTAAAAAAAAGAACTGGTCCAAGCACTGAACCCTGTGGTACTCCACCAGTAACCCTGGAGTATGAAGAATATTTGTCATGTACATGACATCTGTCAGACAGGTAGGATTTAAACCAGCCATAAGGCTACATAGAAAACAATGGCGCCAATTTGCCGCAACGACGAGCCGGCATCTGGAACTTTACGTTCTTTATAAATAGTCAGACCATGGTGGTAAGGTGGTGCGTCCTTCTTACAACAGATTACACAGTGATGGCAGGGACTGACTTGCCCATCTGGCATTCTGGCACTGTCCCGATGGGCCGCCTAGCCAAGTGCGCCGCTTGCTGAGCTTGGTCTGACACAACCCCCAACCCCCAAATTGTTTGCAAAGACAGTTTGAAAGACATCCGTAGATTCCATCTCACAACTTGGTTGTTTCAACAGCCCATACCTTCAGTTTCCTGTTCTTAGCTGACAGGAGTGGCACCCTGTGTAGTTTTCTGCTGCTGTAGCCCATCTGCCTCAAGGTTCCATGTGTTGTGCATTCAGAGATGCTCTTCTGCATACCTTGGCTGTAACGAATGGTTATTTGAGTTACTGTTACCTTATCTGCTTAAACCAGTCTGGCCATCCTCTGACCTCTGGCATTAACAAGGAATTTTTGTCTGGTTTGAACTACAGCGGATCGTCTTGACAAAGTCTAAATGCCTAATTGCATTGAGTTGCCACCATGTCATTGACTGATTAGTAATTTGCATTAATGAGCAGTTGGACAGGTGTACCTAATAAAATGACCAGTGAGTGTATATCCAACAACAATAAGGTAAATGTGATTTTGAATTCTAGAACCCCTTTGAAATAACTTCTACAGCTTTGTTTTTGAAGCAGTAAAAGAACCATGTATGCTTTATTGCGTGGTCACTCATGCTCAGATTACACATGATCACACAGTTACATGGGGAAGGAAACAATTCCAACTCAAAAACTGATGTCAGCTTTGTAATACAACAAAAGTAAAAAGGTCACTGAATGTAAAGTCATTTAACGGGGAAGAAACTGGAATCACCGATGAGCTTCGGACCGACCATACTTCATCCTTCAAGCTGCAGAAGACAAGAAAATCTTTAGGAGCTTTTTTAAAACATCTGCAGGTACAACTAAATTATATAGTAGACAATTAACCCTTAAGGTCTGAATTATTAAATGAAAATATTAAATCAATAAAATTATGAAGTTACACTGAATAAAATTATAAACGCAACACAATTGTTTTTTCTCCCATTTTTCATGAGGTTCAAGATTTTAAACATTTTCTAAACACACAGCTGAGCCATTACTGTCAAATGCATATATGTCTGTTTAGTGAATATTGATGACACATCTGAGATAAAAGTCAGGTATGATTTATTGAAACTCTAAGCCAGTGGAGTCAAGTCCCAGTTCTTGATGTCCTCTCTCCAGCATGTTTCATTGTTTACCTGCTCCAACACACCTGATTTTAGTCGGCAGGTCATTAAGACCCGTGCCACACTGTATGTTTTTCCGCTGTTGTGAGGTGCTACAGTCCAGATTTATGTGAGCAAATCTCCACGGTGTTATGCTCCAGCGGAACATGCTAAAGTCACGAAAAAACTCGCCGAAGCACACACGTCACTGAGCCGACGGATAACCATGAAAACATCAATCAAAAGAGGAACAAAATGCCACAGTTAACACTTTTATTAGGCTCTGAAGTAAACTCAGAAAAGGAGTTGTCCACATGTTTGTGTGGCCTCCATCGTTGCTAATGCTGCTAATGCTACTTATGCTACTCTCACATTGTACTCTATTTTTTTATGTACCGTATTTTCAGGACTTTAAGTCACACTTTTTTTTCATAGTCTGACTGGTCCTGCGACTTATACACCAAAGTGACTCATGTACCAAATTATGTGTACTGCGTAGGGCTGGGGGTAAACGATTATTTTTAAAACGATTATTCTGACGATTATTTTATCGAATAGTCGACTATTCTAATGACTATTTAGAAAATTAATCTAATGATTATTTTTCTATTGCACAATTAACAAAAACCAGAAAATCTCAAATAAATTCCTTAAAAAAATTGATAAATTCTTACTGTAAGAGAATAAACTCTACAGGCCTTCCATTTTGTATAACACTGCGTTTATTGTGTTGGTTGTTTATGTTCTGGTGACGTGTAGAACTTGGGAGTGCAGGCTGCTGCCTGAGAGGTGGTTGGAGACGGAGTGTCTCCATGCTGCTTTGTTTTGGTCACTTATGTGCGTGAGGCGAGTGGTCTTACGGGTTAAACCAAACTCAGGTGATATTTTACACTAAACCGAAAACCCACAACACTCTAAATGTAATAAAAGGGAGATCTACACCACAAAAAAGATGAACTCTAAACCAAAACGTAACAGCTTATCCCAACGCAAGAAGCTGTTAGCGAAGATGCTAACAGTAGCTTTACCAACTTTAAGTTCAAGTTACCAAGTTTAAATAAACCAAAAACACCCAGCAGCAAACAGACCAGCACGGAGGAGAGACTGCTACCACCAAAACAGCTCTCCTCATGTCTGAAAGAAGCTCCTTAATGAAGGGAGAAGCACTCCCGGTGATTTTCTACATCTGCGATAGACACGAAGCAGCGCATCTGACCCCGGAAGTTGTTGTCCGTTGCTGGGAGACGAAGGCGGGCAAAACAGGAAAATAATCTAGTAGTGGACGGACGTTGTTCCGGGTCTTCTGTGTTTGGCGGAGATGTTAGTGAAGGCGGAGAAGAGGGCGAACTAGAGGAAAAACAGGCAGATTCCTCCTCTATTTACAAACTCCTGGGGATGCAACAAGTGGGCGCGGTGCGTCGACTTCCGGATCTGACGTCGACAAATTTTTAGAATCGAGCCGTCGACTTCGTCGAGGCTTCGCTACAGCCCTAGTACTGCGCTGCTGCGGGCCGGCTCCGGTCCAGGTTTCAGCTCCTCTACCCTGCTGGGAGGGTTTCAAACACCGCCATCCTCTGCTGCAGCCTGTGGCGGGGTGCTGCGGGCGCTCTCCCTGCCTGCTGGGAGGGTTTCAAACACCGCCATCCTCTGCTGGAGACCGTGGTGCCCGTGGGGTGCTGCGGGCGCCACGGTCACGGGGTGTTTATTCTGCTATTGTTACCGGTACTTGTCTTGCAATGTGAAATGCTTGTTCTCAGATTTTGTAAGAAAAATAATAAAAATTTCCCCCCAAAATGCAACTTATAGTCCAGTGCGACTTATACATATGTTTTTCTCTTCTTCATGATACATTTTATGGCTGGTGCGACTTATACTCCGGAAAATACGGTACCTCCCTGAGTGTATTCTCATTGGTCGGTTGCAGACAGCAGTCGTGGGTTTCCTGACACTGCTTGAAGACAGTTGGAGGCTGAATTTGGTCGTGAGAGTGCTCGACAACAGTCACACTGGGCGGTCACAGACCTGCTCATCACGATGAGAGATTTAAGACTGCAGAATAACAAACACAGTGTGGCTCCGGTTTAAACAGGTTTACTGCAGAGCTTGATGAGCTGCTGAAACACTGAATCAAGTATGATGGGCAGGAAAACAACCAAAACATTCTGGCTAGCAGCATTCATGGAACATGGTTCTCTGACCCTGCTCTAAACTCTAACCATACAGACAATAATGTATGATGTAATATTAAAGTTAAAAAGTTAAAGTCCCATCAGTTGTCACACACACAGGTGTGTGTGCGAAATTTGTTCTCCGCATTTGACCAATCCCCTGGGGGAGCGGTGAGCTGCAGACAAGCCGCGCTCGGGAACTATTTGGTGGTTTAACCCCCCAATCCAACCCCGTAATGCTGAGTGTCAAGCAGGGAGGCACTGGGTCCCATTTTTTCAAAGTCTTTGGTATGACCCGACCAGGAATCGAACCCTGATCTCCCAGTCTCAGGGCGGACACTCTACCACTAGGCCACTGAGAAAGGTATGACACTAAGACTGATTTTATAGCTTATCAGGACATTTAATGTGACACACCTGGTTGATTAGAATATCTTGGAACACCTGAGGACTCACAACGCGCCTCCAGCCTAACCGCTCTGCTCTCACAGGTATGCTGCCACAGTTGTGCTTAGTTTGATCCTTTTGTTTTGTTTTACGGGTTAAATGTAGGGTTCGTTCAGATTCAGTAACTCCTATTTTCTGATCTTTTACATGGGGTGTGTGCTTTTCTATGGCCCGATGAGCAGGGTCACGGCACTGACATGTCTGGCAGAACAGATTGAAACTCTAAACGCTAACATAACACACAGAGACTCTTTACTACAGGCTTAGACACAATATGCATCATTTTCAGACTGGACTTACTGACATAGTGTGTCTGATATTAAAGTAAAATTCTTGGAGCTAATATTGATATTTTGTGTATTTTTATGGGTTTATGCATGATGCTTGATTTTAGTTTTTACCTTCAGCTGTTAGAGTGTATTCCTTCTCAGCCCGGTCACCTAGGAGAAGAAAAAAGCATTTTTATGAGCCCGCGCTTTTAACCAAGTGTGTGTTTTCTACGAGAACGTACTTGGCTGGTAGTAGTCATAGAGGGCAATCACGGCTGGCTTTAGGTTGTTTACTGGGATCTGCTGTAAGAGCTCTAAGCTGTGGTTGATCTGTACATCCTTCTTCAGCTGAACACAAACAACAACAGAGAGAGGACCCTTGATGTCAGATTCTGATCTGATGTTGTGTTTGACTCCACTGTGTTTATTCTTCTCACCCCTTCTAAGTACACCACAACGTGACCATCTTTGTGTTCGACTCGATCCACCAGCAGAGAAAGTTTGAGCTGTGAGGAGACGACATGAAATCGTGTTTATCCCACTGGCTCCTCTACACAAGAGAAAGGTGCTGCGTTAACTCACGTTCTCTAAAGACTGTGGGTCTGGAACAAATCCTGAAAGCAGGGCGATATCTAGGATCACCATATTGGTGCTGATTTCATTCCCGTTGTACCTGGAAGGGAAAAATAAAACATGTTATATTGTTGTTGTAACCATGACACCAAGCCACCGACCCTTACTAGTCGATCCTCTTATCTTAACCTGCTTGTTATTACTCACAAGGACATGATCTTCAGGGTCAGTTTGGGTTTGCGGGAGGTGTCAAACTCTGGTTTAACCTCCACCCTCATAGAGGTGACTGGAGGTGGAGGTGGGATGTTGTAGTGAATTGAAATCTGGGAAACAAGTAACCATGAGAGGTGTTTGGATCACGAAGAATCAGCTGATACGAGCACATGAACGTCCACCACTGACCTGCACTGAGGCACACGTGGTGCCCTCCACCCTCAGGCTGTTTTTTCCGCTCACATCCTGCAGCAGCTTTTCCTGGTAGAGCAGTTTGTTCTCCTGATTCACATCAAACACCAGCGGTCCACTGGGAGACTGAACTGTGACTGTGCTTGAGCCTTCGGGACTGAACACAGCACTGGAGTAGAGAGCCAGAGCCTGCAGAGCCACCACAGTGTCCTACAACACAGACAAGTGTGTGTCTGGGAGGCTCATTCAGAACCATGGGTGTCCTCAAATAACCAGAGCTTCCAAACCAAATTTCATGAGACAGAATTTAAACCATAAAAACCATAAAATGTGTTCGTTCACTCAAAGATGTGCTTATAATCGTGAACAGCTTTCTGCAAGATGCTTTGACATAAAAAGTGCCGTACCCAGTACAGGCGAGTTTAGGTGTAGCTCTTGGCTCACCTGTTGCAGCTTTACAACACGTGTAAAACATAGATGACCTGATCCTTGGCGTCCAGTCTTGTTATTAAATAACAGAACATTTTGAAAAGTCCTAACACGTTGGCTCATACTTCTGTTGTACAAGTTGGTGTTTATCTAGCGGTGGCCTATGTGACGTCCTGGAGCCAGATGTGTTGGGACAATAGCTGGTCGTCTTGGTAACCATTGTGCGGGCTCTTTACAAACATTACATATAGTTTTAATCACAGTTGAAGATGTGTTTCTGCTGATATTCTTTCTACACGACAAAACCTAAAGAAGCTAAATAAATACAACTGACTTACAACTGAACGTGTTCTAAAACTGCTGCTACTTTCAGAAAGACGTTAGTTTTCAGTCTCTTCTAAAAATGTTTATTTTTAGGGTTTTCCTAAATCTTATTTTAGACGGGTTCTGGTTCTGGTTCTGTCGAGGGTTTCTTCAGGGGAAAGAACGTTCTTCTTTGCGCTGACGTCACTGACTGCAGTCAAGATTTGATGCGATCTGCTGCTTCCTTTATAAAAGGCAAATATGACGCATTGCCCTGTTTATAAATTATAATTGAATAATTTAGTAGCTGGTTTTTGGTTTTCTTAATCAACTGTAAATAAATGTAACTGCTGCATGAAGAGCAGCCGGCCATGTTACCATTAGTGATTCTGGCCTTTGACCTTGAGACTCGGCTCATAGGACAGCTGTAGGTGAAGGGTGAACCGTGGATGTTTACCATCTTGTTCCGTGTTTTGTGTTTCTCCGTCTGCTTGCTTGTGTTGCTCCTGTGTTGTAGGAGCTTTTTTAATGTTAATCAGATTCACCAAAGTTTCACTAATTCTGCTGCCTCAATGACTTTTGGCAAAAAAGATCAAACCTGATTGTGTTACCTGCGTGGACGAGAAGCCTCCATAATGGTTCTGCTGAGTCGTCAGCCACCTAACAATGCTGGAGGCGTAGCCCAGGTCTTCAGCAGTTTGAGAGAAGGCCAGTTTTGCCATCAGCACATAGGAGCTGATCTCCACAGACAGAGAAGCAGATGTTTCTGATGAAGTCTGAGACCAGTAGGTGAAACCTCCTGAAAACAAACAATGAAATTGAACTATTTTTCCTGTTTCCAAACTCTAATCCGTTCCCATCAGAAGATAACCTACCTTGTTTTACTGCAACTGAGTCCAGGTGCTGGAGAAGGTGAGCACGGGTCTCCATGTCTCCTGCCAGCGTGAAGACATATGCCAGCAGAGCTGTGGTGTAGGTGTTGCTGAAATCATTGGTGAACTCTCTGAGGCACGACAGGCTCCTGCTCACTACTGGATCCTTCCACAGACAAATAGACATGTCAGAAAGCTCCGACTGCCCTTTCTAAAACATCGAAGTCGATAACCGTACTCTACTACTCACGTTAACGGAGCTGTTCGTCTCCAGGAGGGCAGCAGTTATATAAGCACTAAGTGTGACTTCATCAGACACACCACCCTGTAGAGAATCATCACAGTGATTTTGTTATCAGTCAGAATTAATTAATTGCCTCCATGTTGCCATGGTAACTCATAAAAATAAAAATAATGCTGACTCAGCAACAGTCTCTGTGTGAAAATGAACATCCCAGTTCTGTTTGCGGAGTTTCCTACCTTCATTCTGTTGTTAAACAGTTTCCCTGACTGGACAAAACAACCAGTGATGTTTTGCCTTTCTATCAGCCAAGTCTTTGAAGCTTCCATCTTTGTTTCATCGATGTAGATGAAAGACTGAGCTTTATGAAAAGACCTCAGGACAAAAGCAGTCAGCCTGAGGAAAAACAAAATGATCAATGCTGATGTTGTTTTTGCAGTATGTTTGGGTTAGAAAGCAGATGTGTACACTGGGCCTCAAGGCTCCTGTCATAAATACAAGCAGGGCGTTTTAGTGAAGGCTGCGAGAGAAAATCCAGCATTCCCAGTTAGAACTAGAGAGGAATGTTGCTGACATTAGTTACCAGCCTGCTTACCAGGTGTTTCCGGGTCCTGATCCAAATGTACTGTATGCACCTGCAATGTCTTTGTAGTTCAACTGTCTCTGGTATCCTGCAAAAGAATCAGGACATGCTTTGTTCTGTGATCCAGGTATGAGGTCCACCAATAGAGAGCTGATTGCCAAAGACACTTTCCTGAAGTGGACATTAAAATCCCACCTGGTTAAAGCTCCAGTAGGTAAATGCTGTGCTTGTAACATCAAATGATGATTAAGATCTCTATCGTGCATCATAATTTGTCAGAATTATTCAATTCAATTCAAGTTTATTTATAAAGCGCCAAATCACGACAAGAGTCGTCTCAAGGACCTTCACATAATAAACATTCCAGTACAGGTCAGTTTATTAAGCCAATCAGTAAAAAGTTTCCTATATAAGGAACACAGCAGGTTGCATCAAGTCACTGACTAGTGTCAGAGTCTTTACAGCAATCCTCATACTAAGCAAGCATGCAGCGACAGTGGAGAGGAAAACTCCCTTTTAACAGGAAGAAACCTCCAGAGAATCCTGGCTCAGTATAAGCAGCCATCCTCCACGACTCACTGGGGATGGAGAAGACAGAGCAGACACACACACACACACACACGCACACACACACACATGCACGCGCGCACGCACGCGCGCACACGCACGCACACACACACACACACACACACACACACACACACACACACAAAGACAAAGTAATGTGTCTATAGTTATATTGTGATGTCTTAGTAAATATTCTATTTGGTGAGAGATAAACTTTATAGTATTTATGCTAGTGGATCTATAATTAAACGGGTAAACTAGTAGTAGCACATCCAACATCAATGAAAGCAAAAAGTTATTATCAGGAGAGAGAGAATGTTTAAGTGGTTAGCAGCAGTGTGCTAGACGATGGCCCCCTCCATGAGGCCACCACAGCTCAGCAGAACATCATTGTAGCTTCTTCTGGGGAGAAAAACACTTACAGAGAAAATAAAGTTAACAGCTGAAATAGCAGGAAATAATACAGTTAAAGAGCAGATTGTAGAAGAAAGCAGTAGAGTGTGAAAAGTGGTCAGTGTGTCCTCCAGCAGTCTAAGCCTATAGCAGCATAACTACAGAGATAACTCTGGATAATCTATCCTATTTAGATGGAGGCATGTTGGAGGCAGGGCAAGGGAGAGTCGTCTTTACCGACTGTACACTCCACCTCCCTCTACTCCCCCACTTGTCCAGATCTAGGCTAACATCAGATTTTTAAATAAATAAAAAAAAATTCTCTTTTTTATTTAATTCAAAATAAAAGCAAATAAAACATATAAACAATAAGAAAAACATAACAAAAAATCTAATTTGAACGAAAAGGAGCAGAATGAAGAAAACATCTTATAATTTCTGCCCCTTTTCCAGAAGAAGTAATCAATTTATATACAATTTCCATTTGTCAGACACACATACAGATTCATTTTAAAGGGGCATGATGGAAGTGTGACAGCCAAAACATGTATAGAAATAATAAATGTCTTCTTCATACATTCTCCTGCAATGCCCTGGTCCTGTAGAATGAGCCCTGGCATTTTTACTGGGATTGCCTGTTTTTCTGTAAAATCACAGAAAAAGAGAGATGCTCGGGTCGAGCAGGCTGCTTCATGCGCGTTCACGCTCAGGCATCGCCCGTAGCATTTGCTATCCGTAGCTTTAGCAGCAGAGAGGCAGTGCCGCCTAGTGACAAAGCTAGCTACATTTCTGAGGACCCTTAGCTACTTTCTGTAGAACTTTCTTCTAGATATTTCCTGCAAATTAGCAACAAAATAGCCATTTTCACTCCGAACCGTTCTCTGAACGTTGTTTCAGCTGTCATCAAGGATATAAAAGTTACAGACACAAAGTTCGTCACTGACGCTTTAGCTCACCTAGTAAGACGTCGGACTCTCGTGCATATGACCTGGGTTTGATTCTGGATGTGAACATAGTTTAATTATTTTCCTTTTTACATTAATGGTATTTCTTTTACAGTAAGATGCCCAAATTTTTATTTGAGACTTGCTGAATGGCATTGAATTCACTAATAAAAAAGATGTGGGTTCAACTTTCATTTTGGAACAAATTTTCAAGCAAGGGAAGGGAATGATCTGAGCATGCAGGAGGACTGACCCATCATAAACCTTTGTCGGCTGTGCTGAAGAGAAAGGTACAGAACCAAATTACTTAATTAATTAGCTGCGTGTTCTCCTGTCCTCTGTCCTCCGGGCCACACACACACACACACACACACACACACACACACACACACACAAGGGACTGTCTCAGCTGTTATTTTCGTTAAGGAGTGTGCACGTACAGCATGCGCGCCTCGTGCACGAGCCTCCTATTGAAGCTGCCGTTACGCTTTTGGCCTGAGGGGGCAATCGCGACCATAAAAATTCAAAACTCCGTAAAGTCCCTTTAAACTTTGTCCTGTTCTAAATTCCAGTGCGATCATGATCATTGATTTAATTAACATTTTCGTAATTATTTAGTACACTCAATTTGGTACATTTTTTGAATATATTAAATGACAGAGTATTTTTAATTTCCATTTTAAGGTTATTTCATAATTTAACACCATTTACAGATATATTCCATTCCTTAATTTTTGTCATGAACCGAGTTCAGAAGACCCGTGAAGACGCCAACACAGTAAAAATATATTAAAAAGTCTTTATTTAATGCAGAGGTACCTGGAGGGCAAGGCTGAGGCAGGATCTGAGGCAGGCTAAGGTCAAAGTGGCAGGCAGAGAGCAAGGCAGGGGTCAGGCAAAAAACAAGGTCCAGAGGCAAAGATCAGGCAGGGTGGATGGCTGAAGAACTACTGGCAAGGCTGTAATAATCTGGCATCTGTTGACTGGATGGCTGGTTCTTTTATAGCAGGGGAAGCAGGTGAATGGGATGAGGCTGATTACAGGAGCAGGTGGAATGAATGGAGCTGATTGAAGCTGACAGGTTGCTGGGGAAAGCAGGGCTTGGCTGGAGCTTGGTGAGAGGAACCAGGTGAGCTGAATGAAGGTATAATGAGGAAGTGGAGGAGGGTGAAGGATGGGAGTCATGACAATTTTAGTTCTAAATCTAGGTTTTGTAAACACATCAGTTTCTTTCAGCATGTAAGTGCAAGTTCTCTTTTCAAATATCCCCGAATGTTTGAATTTTAACCATAGGCCCTATCAAATAAAAAATGTTTTAAGCCTAGTCTTAAAAGTAGACAAGGTGTCTGCCTCACGGACTAAAGCTGGGAGCTGGTTCCACAGGAGAGGAGCCTGATAACTAAAAGATCTGTCTCCCATCCTAATTTTAGATATTCTGGGAACCACCAGGGGACCTGCAGTCTGAGAGCGAAGTGCTCGGTTAGGAACATATGGAACAATCAGGTCACTGATGTATGATGGAGCTTGATTATTAAGAGCTTTAAATGTGAGAAGGAGGATCTTAAAATGAATGAATGAATGAATGAATGATCAATTTATTCAGTCAGTCATCTTAAGATAATGTACAATCTATTCTGAATTTAACAGGCAGCCAATGTAGGGAAGCTAAGACAGGAGAGATATGATCTCTCTTTTTAATTCTCATCAGAACTCTAGCTGCAGCTTTCTGGACAAGCTGAAGGCTTTTAACTACATTCTGTGGACTTCCTGAGAGTAATGTCAACGTCGTCTTCACCGCTTATCTGGCTCTTCACAAAAGGCTACTCACCCCATACTCCTGGAGCGTCCCCCACAGGGTGCCCCTGGGGACACAGTCATAAGCCTTCTCCAAATCCACAAAACACATGTGGATTGGTTGGGCAAGCTCCCATGCCCCCTCCATCACCCTTGCAAGGGTATAGAGCTGGTCCACAGTTCCACTTCCAGGATGAAAACCACATTTCTCCTCCTCAATCTGAGATTCAACTATCGATTGGACCTTTCCAGGGAGGCTGAGGAGTGTGATCCCCCTATAGTTGGAACACACCCTCTGGTCACCCTTCTTAAAGATGGGGACCACAACCCCGGTCGGCCACTCCAAAGAAATTGCCCCCGATGACCACGCAATGTTGCAGAGACGTGTCAACCACGACAGCCCTACAACATCCACAGCCTTGAGATACCCAGGACGAATCTTATCCACCCCCGGGGCTCCACCGCTGTTTAGTTGTTTGACTACCTGAGCAACTTCTGCCCCAGAGAATGGACAGTCCATCCCCAGATATTCCGGCTCTGGCTCCTCCTCGGAATGCGCGTAGGTGGGATTGAGGAGCTCCTCAAAGTATTCCTTCTACCGCCCGACTATAGCCCCAATTGGCGTCAGCAGCTCCCCATTCCCACTGTAAACAGTGTGAGCGAGTTGCTACCTCCCTCTCCTGAGGCGCCGGACAGTTTGCCAGAACCTGTTTGGAGCCAATCGATAGTCTTTCTCCATGGCCTTACCAAACTCCTCCCATGACCGAGATTTTGCCTCAGTAACTGCCGCTGCTGCACCCTGCTTGGCTATCCGGTACCTGTCTGCTGCCTCCGGAGACCCACAGACCAGCCACGCCCTGTAGGCCTCCTTCTTCAGCCTGACGGCTTCCCGAACCTCTGGTGTCCACCAGCGGGTACGGGGGTTGCCACCACGACTGGCACCGGCCACCTTGCGACCACAGCTAGCAACAGCCGCCTCAACAATCGCAGAGTAAAACAAGGCCCACTCGGAGACGATGTCCCCCACTGCTCTTGGGAAGCGGTCAAAGCTCTGCCGGAGGTGGGAGTTGAAGACCGTCTTGACAGGTTCTTCTTCCAGACATTTCCAGCAGACCCTCACTATGCATTTGGGTCTGTCAGGTCTACGTGGCATCTTCCCCTGCCATCTGATCCAACTCACCACCAGGTGGTGATCAGTTGACAGCTCCGCTCCTCTCTTCACTCGGGTGTCCAAAACATACGGCCACAGGTCAGATGATACGACTACAAAGTCTGTCATCGACCTGCGACCTAGGCTGGCCTGGTACCAAGTGTACCGGTGGGCATCCTTATGTTCGAACATGGTGTTCTTTATGGCCAAACTGCGGCTTGCACAGAAGTTCAATAACGAAACACCACTCGAGTTCAGATCAGGCGGGCCATTCCGCCCAATCACACCCCTCCACGTCATGCTGTCATTGCCCATGTGAGCATTGAAGTCCCCCAGCAGGACAATGGAGTCCCCTGATGGAGCACTATCTAGCACTCGCACCAGGGACTCCAAAAAGGGTGGGTAATCTGAACTGATATTTGGCGCATAAGCACAAACAATAGTCAGGACCCGTTCCCTGACCCGAAGGCGCAGGGAAGCTACACTCTTGTTCCCTGGGGTAAACCCCAACACAAAGGCAGAGAGTCTTGGGGCTAACAAAAAGCCAACCCCAGCTTTCCACCTCTCACCCGGACCAACTCCAGCAAAGGAGAGTGTCCACCCCCTCTCAAGGACTTGGGTTCCAGAGCCAATGCTATGTGTTGAGGTGAGTCCGACTATATCTAGCCGGTACTGCTAAACCTCTGTCACAAGCTCCTGCTCCTTCCCCGCCAGGGAGGTGACGTTCCATGTCACAAAAACCAGTTTCCTTGTCCGGGGATCAGACCGCCAAGGCTCCTGCCTCGGTCTGCCACCCGATCCACACTGCACCGGACCCTTCATGTTCCTCCTGCGGGTGGTGGGTCCACAGTTGGATGAGCCCATGTATCCGGTTCGGGCAGGGCCCGGCCGAGCCCCATGGGCAAAAGCCCGGCTACCAGGTGCTCGCTCATGGGCCCCACCCCAGGCCTGGCTCCAGGGTTGGACCCCGGTAAACCTCTGGGCCGGGTACTCCGATTCTTTGTTTTTATGTCCATGAAAGATCTTCTGAACCGTTCTTTGTCTCAGAGTAATGAATTACAGTAATCCAGTCTTGATGTAATAAATGCATGAACTAGTTTTTCAGCATCACTCCTGGAAAGGATGCATCTAATCTTAGCAATATTCCGAAGGTGGAAAAAGGAAATCCTACAAACCTGTTTAACATGGGATTTGAATGACATGACCTGGTTGAAGATAACATCAAGGTTCCTTACTTTGTTCTCGGAAATTAATTCAATGCCATTCAGGTCAGGTGCTTGACCAAGCAATTTCATTTTCTGAAGTTCCAGTGCAAAGATGAGAACTTCAGTCTTGTCTTGATTTAAAAGCATAAAGTTTTGAGTCATCCAATTTTTCATGTCTTCAAGACAAGCCTGTAATCTAACTCACTGTAGCATCCAGCAATGGTCAGTTTGGGTACAGTCTGACCTTTCACCATCTTTTCAACATCTGGTCAGAAAGGAGACACAATATTGCATGTGTTCCCTTCAAATGAACATTCACACCAGCTGGGATTCAAACTCTGCAAGTCTGAATCATAAACAATAACTTTCTTTCTCAATGTCTCATCTGTCTGCCTCCAGAAGAAAGAAGATCCAGCTTGAATCAGTTGCTAAATTCAAGAATGATTATAAACTCCTTCTATGACTTATAATCTAGATAATCATTAAACAAACATTTGTTTATTACTACTTATGATAATTATAGTATAATGAAATGCTTCATTAATCTGTGCTCACTGAATGGATGTTATGTTTGTCCAATAGAACCTGCAATGTGTTCACCATGTTTTGATGACAAGGTCCTCACACCTGCTCCACACATTAACAAGTACGGCTTGCAAATCCAACTCCCAACTCGCCACAAGGCGTAGCCGAGACTTTCGATGCTTTTATAACTTTGACACAGAGCTGCTACGTAGTACTCTTCTCATTTACGTAGTTTTGTTCTCTTTAGTCTTTTCAAACAGACTCAAGTAAAGGTTTGATTACAGCAACCTTAAAATCCTGTGGTACATACCCATTTACTAAGGATAGATTGATTATATCTAGAATGGGGGCAGTAACCAAAGGAAATGAATCTTTAATTAATTTGGTTGGGATTGGATCTAAAATGCAAGTTGAAGGTTTAGATGAAGCTAATATTTTTGATAACTCTGAAAGCTCAACTGGATCAAAACAGTTCAAAAACAGATGAGGTTCTACAGTCACCTCTGATGCTGCCTCACTTACTGAGGAAGAAGAAATCACATTATGGAGGATGCTAAAGATTTTGTTTCTTATAGAATTAATTTTACTCGTAAAAATCACATAAAGTTGTTTAATAAGAAATCACATCACCCCCCGTAAAATTCCCAGCCCGCTTCAGCATCAGCAACAAGGTAAATGGCCTGCATTTGTATAGCACCTTCTTTTATACATGGTGGTGGCAATACTGCTAACCACAGAACAACACTAGCCCAAGTTAATGCTATGTCTTTGCTGGACGACAGAAAAACCACTAAGAATAATATCAGAGCACACGTGTCACTTTCCAGGATGCACTGTGAATATCCAGACTTTGTAATTGTCAACATGACTGTTTAGCTTTCCATTGTAATTGAATTTCCATTGCAGGGCTTTATTATAGAGATGTTTTAGCTCATTTATCGGGGCTCCTGGGCCAGTTTCACATGCTGTCTTCAATGAAAAAAAGTTCTAGAACCCTTAAAATATAGGGCTGGAGAAAAGAAACAGTGTTGGGGCAAGATGCTTTTGAACATACATAATTACAACTACAAAATCCGTTTTATGCTTTGGCCCATTGTTGGCAACGTTTCCACCATAATTCCCAAAAACGCACCTACATCACCAAATGAAATTGACTTTGCTAGCTAATAGAGTGGTGCTTTTATGTTGCATAACTAGGCAAGTTTGAGCTTCATTATTCGTTACTGTAAAATCACAGCAGCTTAGTGCCACAAACAACTAGTCGGAACCTCCTCACCCTCCCTCCACACACACACACACACACACACACACACACACACACACACACACACACACACACACACACACGCACACACACGCACGCACGCACGCACGCACACACACACACTAATGGCTGCTGCATTTCTCTTTCTTTTTCTAACAGGTTTGACTCTACAGCTAACAAGCTGTATGATAAACATGAAGAAGTCTTACCACTGGTTAGGAAGTTTGATGCCTTTTCTTTAATGGCTGGGGTCAGCTGTTGGGTTTTTTGCAAATATTCAAGAATGTAGATGTTTGGAGCTAGTAAAGCCATGTTCTGCTCCCCACATCCATACGGCATCTGAAGCAGTCCATCCAGATTCTTCAGGGCACGGCCGAGAATGTCACCTGCAAAAGTCCAAATCAACCACAGGAAGCAGATTTTCATGTATGTAGAAGATTAGAGCAAAGAGCATGGGGGGAGCACGAGGGGGAAATGACCCATTTTGTTTTGGTGCAATTAAAGAGAGATTTTACCAAGGACTGATACTGTTGCACGAGCAGATCCCTCAATCACATTTCCAGGAAGTTGTATTTCTGTTTCCTCTGTCAAAGTGTTTCCTGAGTACAGACAACAATAACAACATTATTAAAGAGGCACAGTTTTCATTTTCATCAACAAATATCCCAAATGTCAAACTCAAGGCCAGGCTCAGTGTCTCTCCTTAGGCATGTTCTGGTATTTAATTATAAATCTCACACAAAGGGTCCCATTTCTGTATTAATGAAGTAAAACACCTGAAAAACAGGAGAATTTATCTCATCCTCTTTTCAAAAGATTTAACAGAAGTCCATCCTCAAGGTGGACTAAGTTCTTAGTTCAGCCTCCGTGGAATTACGTTTGACACGCCTGATCTAGATCTGACTGACCTTTGGGGCAGAGCAGCCAGTTGTGTGTCTTTGTTACTTCTATTCCTTCAGCCTGAGAGAAAGGGATAAATAACGGTCAGGTTGGGTTACAGTGATGGTTTCATTAGTCAAAACTATTTCAATGACTTGATTCTTATTTTCTAGTCCTCATATTTAATTCTACCAACCTTTACTATAAGAGAACGCGTTACAACATCAATGCGGCCTCTTTCTGGAACGCTCACAATCTCATTGTCACAAGAAGCGTGTGACGGAATAGCCTCAGCAGTCACGGTCACATTCACAACCCCTAAAAAGGAACAAATGAGATGGATAGTTGTTCTTGCTGAGGTGGATCTCCCTGAGAAAGTGTCATCACTTCCTCCTGCCTCCAGCCTCATCATCATCGAGTGAATGAAAGTCTGGCCCTCACCTAAAGCTGTAGGAGCCATGATCCACCTGAGGGTTTTGCGCTCATTTCCACATAAACAGCTGGTGTACTGGTCACCAGAGAGGGGGGTGAGGGTGAAATCTGAGGAGGGGGCGGGACTTATTTTCACCTGTTTGTGAGAGAAAATTTTAAAAATCAAGTAGTTCTAAATTAATAAAATCTTGTTTGTGACGAGTGAGTGATCGTTTTAATAACGACTTTGTTTTTGTTTACAAGAACTTAGCTCACTGCTAACATATTGAATATTGTGTCTGATGGCCGACTACATTAACGTGGCAGAATTCATGTAAAATGAACCATTACCATAATACAGCTGCTTAGATAGTTGAAGACAGTTGCTTTCAACTCAAAGTTTTCTCCCCGGATGATGGAGTAGGGAAGGGTAAGCTCAAGGAAAAACGGCTGGAAGACCGTGAGTTTTTCACGAGGAGCCAAACCAAAACCCTGAGGTGACAAACAGAACGTCTCCGTTTCCCAGGTGGTGATTGTGTCTGGCACAGTAAGAGGTACGTCCTTTGTTCCAGATGCTCTGCAGATGAACAAACACGTCAGGTCAAAGTCAATGTTTGCAAAAATGCTTAAAACATATAGATGTGTTTGTACTTTAGACTGGCCAAATGCACTTTCAGAAAGTTTCCTAATGTGTAGGTCAGATGTGGGTCACTGACAACCTCAGAGCGACTCACCAGAACCAACAGCCAGCATTAACACTTTTGTTATGTTGCTCTTATAAAATGGTTATTTGAAGAATACAGCAATGTGGGTGTTAGGGAACAGCATTTGAAGGAACATTAGATAAAAATAAATCTATCAAGTCCCTTCTCTTCACACCCTTTCCAGCTGTCAAGCATGATCAGCAGTGTTGAATACTACAGAAGGATCAAGTACTAGAAGTACATAGGAGCCTGAGTCAGTGTCATGGTCTGCGTCTACCCCCTCCTTTATGGGTCTCCTAATGTTTTCATCCCTCTCTGGATTCCCTTTAGTATTCTCTTAGCGCCCTCTTGTGTCCTTTGTCTGCATCTCTGTTATGTGTCTTATGTTGTAGCCTTTTAGCGCCCTCATTTGTCCTTTGTCTGCATCTCATTTTAGTGTCTTACCCCCAAATTCCACTACCTCCGCTCCGGTCCGCCCCCGCGTTCCGCAGCCGCTCGCTTCCAAACTCAATTTTTCTTGGTACCCGCTCTACAACGGCTCCGCTCCGGTGCGGAAACCTGAGGGGGGCAAACAAGCATGCACGGGATTTTCGAGATCTTGCGATGCAGTCCGAGCAATAAATGCGGAAGTTAGATCCAAACACCCGTTGTGTGGGAGAAGCATCGGCATGAACTGTTTAATCTGCCCATCATTTGTGTTGAGAGATCAGCAGTGTTTGGATCAACAAAGTGTGACTACTTTGATAGTGGAAACTGTATTTATGGCTTACTTTTGTGCATTTAAACTTCAGCCGCCATTGATAGTTGTTAAAAGTTGTTAAACCTGTGCATATGAAACAAAAAAACGCCTTTTGTTTATCGATTTATTGTGAAAAACGGAAGTTGTGCTCGCTCCTTTTCCTGTTGGGCGTTTGTGATTTCTGTGCATTTACTGCGTAGGTGCTCCGGCGTCCGGCGAAAATAGGATCGATTCTAGCATCAAATTTTTGCCGGACGCCGTAACAGAGGGCGGCACACGGCGCCGCACTGCCGGAGCACGGCCGCAGTAGTGGAATTGCTCTGATTGACTACAACGGGACCGATTTTGCTCCGGCGTTCGTGTCGGAGCGGAGCGCAGGTAGTGGAATTTGGGGGTTATGTTGTTACCTTTTCTAATCTTTCCTCCCAGGTCAGCTCCAGCCTCTTTGTCCCCAGCTCAGTGTGTGTGGTTATGTGTGTGTGGGTGTATGTGCTATGTCCTCCTTCAGCTAGTTTGTGTGAGCCCTTCCCTCTGTCTTTAGGTAATTGTTGTTTAGTTTTGTGTTTAGGTATTTGCCCTCCTCTGTTTCTGTTTTCCCCATTGAGATAATTATTGTCACCTACCTTCCCTCCAGCCCTCACTCCACATACCTGCTTCCTGTTTCCTTAATTGGTCTCCCAGTCTATTTAAGCCCTGTCTTGTCTTTGTCTTGTGTTGGTCCATTGTATGTGTATTCTGTCAGTGTTTGTTCATGCTCTTGGTGAGCTTTGTTTCTCCAGCCTTGGAGTTTTGGGTTTTAGGCTCAGCGTTTGTTCATGCTCTTGGTGAGCTTTGTTTCTCCAGTGTTGGAGTTTTGGACTTTGGCTCGCTGCCTGGATTTATTTTGTTCATCCCTTCAAGAATAAAGGATTTTACTTTTCATCATCTCCTGCCTTGTGTCATCCTGGGGTACTGCATATTTGGGTCCTAACATCCGCAAAACGTGACAGAATGGACCGACCAGCCAGGACCCAGCAGACCCGGATGTACCCTTTTTATGGCAACCCGGACCCCAGTAAGGTTTTTCTTCTGGACTTTATGTTTCACGACACTGACATGCCGGACATTGATCTGGTAGTTAACCTGGTGTTTCTCCTAAGGGGAAGAGCCCTGCAATGGGCCAGTCTGTATTTTGATCTGAACCCTATTGAGAAATTAGTTTTTTGGGACTTTCCAGAGGATCTGCAGGACGCCTGTAGCAGCCCACAGTTTTCCTCCTTCTCTGTGGATTATAAGATATCAGCAAGCGCTGTTTTAAGAGCTGCTTTCTCGGATTCTTCTAAACGTCCCGCCTCCACACCCTCACCTGGTCTGGACTGCGTCACCTCCCCGTCTCAGACCATCAGAACCGGATTCATATCATTCTCCCCTATGCATGTTGATGCTGCCTCAGCTTCTCAGATGAGTCCACCCTCCACGTCACTGCAGCAAAGAGTCCTGGTTTCATCTCCTAATCAGCGTTGCTGGCGAGGCACAGTTCCTCCTGACGCCACCTCCAGTTTTCTGGTGGGTCGGGTAGCTAAGGGAGCTGAATCCTCACCTCAAGGTCTGCGCTATTGGTCAGTAGATGTCCCAGAAACCTCCTCTTCTCCCTCCGTTTCAGCCGGCGCCATTGCTGCATCTCTGATGGGCCGAGCCATCCCGCCTTCACCTGGCCTGGACAGTGCCACCTCCCTGTCTCCGGTGGGCTGTCACATCTCATCGCCCTCTGTTTCTGCTGACACCATCGTGGCACCCCCGACGGCCCGAGCTGCCACACCTCCACCGGTTCCAGACAGCGCTGCTACATCCTCTCCGGTGGGCTGTCATTCCTCCTCATCCTCAGTTCCTGCCAACGTCATCCCTGCACCTCAGAGGAGACGCACTCATCATAAATGTCACCACCATCACCAGCAGTCTCCTGAAGCCAGAGCTGTGCCGCCTGTCCAAGAGGCCCCTGCTCTGCAACCCAGGTCTGAGCTCATGCAGCCGTCCAAGGCCAGAGTTGTGCCGCCTGCCCAAGAGGCCCCTGCTCTGCAGCCCAAGCATGAGCTCCACCTGCCTTCACCGTATTCTGCCTCAGTGGTGGTCCCGGAGGACGCATCGCATCCTGTCTCGGCGGTGGTCCTGGAGGACGCATCGCATCCTGTCTTGGCGGTGGTCCCGGAGGACGCATCGCATTCTGTCTCGGCGGTGGTCGCGGAGGACGCATCGCATCCTGTCTCAGCGGTGGTCCCGGAGGACGCATCGCATCCTGTCTCGGCGGTGGTCCTGGAGGACGCATCGCATCCTGTCTCGGCAGTGGTCCCGAAGTCGACGTCACCATGTTTCCAGAGATCCTTCCTCGTCCTCCTCCTCCAAAGCCCCCTATCCCCAGGGTTTCCTGATCCTGCCTCCTGGTTTCCCGTCGCCGGCCCCCTAGGCTTCTCTGGGCCGGCCTCCTGGTTCCCTGTCGCCGGCCTCCCGAGGTCTCCTGTTTCCCCCTCGCCCGCCCTTTTTGGGTTGTGTTTTGTTGGTTCCCTCCTCTCCCTCCCTCTGGTTTTTTTCGTGTCCTGTGTTGTCTTGTCATGTGCTTGTTGCTGTTTGTTCTTGTTTGGGCGTCTGGTATCCGCCCCTTGGGGGGATGGGGGGGGGGGGGGGGGGGGGTTACTGTCATGGTCTGCGTCTGCACCCTCCTTTATGGGTCTCCTAATGTTTCGCCATCCCTCTCTGGATTCCCTTCAGTGTTCTCTTAGCGCCCTCTTGTGTCCTTTGTCTGCATCTCTGTTATGTGTCTTATGTTGTAGCCCTTTAGCGCCCTCATGTGTCCTTTGTCTGCATCTCAGTTTAGTGTCTTATGTTGTTACCTTTTCTAATCTTTCCTCACAGGTCAGCTCCAGCCTCTTTGTCCCCAGTTCAGTGTGTGTGGTTATGTGTGTGTGGGTGTATGTGCTATGTCCTCCTCCAGCTAGTTTGTGTGAGCCCTTCCCTCTGTCTTTAGGTAATTGTTGTTTAGTTTTGTGTTTAGGTATTTGCCCTCCTCTGTTTCTGTTTTCCCCATTGAGATAATTATTGTCACCTACCTTCCCTCCAGCCCTCACTCCACACACCTGCTTCCTGTTTCCTTAATTGGTCTCCCAGTCTATTTAAGCCCTGTCTTGTCTTTGTCTTGTGTAGGTCCATTGTATGTAACTCCCCCAAGGCACTTTACAACACTATCAGTCCTTCAACCATTCAAATCAAATCAAAGCTTTATTTATAAAGCGCCTTCCGCAACCCTGTCAGGAAGCCCAAGGCACACACACACATTAACACCCTGGTGGTGATGTAGCCACAGCTGCCCTGGGGCGTACTTACAGAGGGGAGGCTGCCGAGTACTGGCGCCACTGGTTCCCCCGACCATCACCAGCAGGCAGGGCGAGTTACATGTTTTGCCCAAGGACACAACAGCAGCACTCTCTGCCAGGGTCGATCCTACAACCCTCTGGTTACTGGACAACCCACACTACCCCCCTGAGTTACTGCTGCCCAAAGTAGAAAATAATATGGACAGCTATGGGCTTGGTGCTGCTGTCTGTGCAGTCCAACTCCATCTTCATCAAATGGCGGTGAGCTCTACAACCAACACCGTAAACGCTCCCATTCTGTCCAGCTTGAGTCCTCAGAAGCTGTAGTCATTTCATTTTGTTCTCTCTCTCTCTCTCTCTCTCTCTCTCTCTCTCTCTCTCTCTCTCTCTCTCTCTCTCTCTCTCTCTCTCTCTCTCTCTCTCTCTCTCTCTCTCTCTCTCTCTCTCTCTCTCTGACTGATAACGAATCGGTTTTGTTGGACCCACTGACTTGCGGATTTGCTTCTTTAACTCTTGCACACAAACAGATTTTGTTCTAACTAACCATGACGACTGTTGCCATTTACTGTTAAATGGTGCATGCCTTGAAAACAAATTGTGTGGTGTGTTTTTAGCTTAACCCCTTCTTTCCACCGGAGCCGTCAGCAGCACATCTTGCTCGCGTAAGCTGCTGCTTGGCCCTTCCCACGAGACACGAAGCAGCAGGGGAGCAGCCGTCACCGACCGAGCACGAAGTCACACGAGTGACTTCGTCAGTAAACACAACAACAAGCAGGAGAAAACTACAACATGGTTTGTGTTTAATGTTCTGTCCGTTTTATAATCGCCAATACGGACCTGAAAAACAAAGGAGACCGCTAGCTAGGTGATAACTTCTCACGGGGACGCACAGTTAGTACATTTTTTAAAGTAAAGCAACCGGAAGGCAGTACGTTTCTTTTTTCTGAAAATCTCGGGAGCTTCGCTCCGTTTCCGCGTCCGATTTCCTGTCTTTCCTTCCCCAAAAATGTCGAACATGACCCGTTTCAGAGGCGTCGCGCGTAGAAAATAGAACCGGCGCGTAAAGGCCGCGACATGCTGCTCCTGAGACGCGGCCGACTCGCGCTTCTGACGGCTGCTGACGGCTCCAGTGGAAAAGGTTCTGTTGACCACAGCGGTTCCTATCAGCAGCTATGACGTGCTGCTGCAGTAACGCGCTGCTGACGGCTCCGGTGGAAAGAAGGAGTTAAGGCCATCTTCCGGGGGAACTGACAAGAATAATGACATTACATCAGTATTCAAAGGAGCATCATGATAAAGGAACTGCTATACGCAAATAACTTTGGTGCAAATGTGCACCTGTGCAGTAGTTATGTATATAATACAATACAAAGATAACATAGCTTCATAAACCAGGAGGCTGAAGGTCATAGTAACACAAGGCTATAGTTTGTCTCACAACTTGTCTACTTTGATTTTTGGGGCTAACTGATTTAGTAAAGTTACTCATACAATTAGGATACCACTAGGTGTCCTTTTTGTGGAGCAGAAAACACCCTGAAAAATGTCGGCATTCAGCTACTTCCTCTGGCATGCTTGGAATACCGAGGCAGGACCGGTAAATAACAAGGAAAAGGTCCAGTCACCATAGAAAAACATTTATATTAATTATTGCATTGGTGTGTATAGTGAGATGGCAGAGAAAAATGTTATGAAAAATTGCTACATGTCAGAGGCTCACCCAACTTCCACCAGATCCCATATCCAAGTTTCAGGGAAAAAGGTGCGAACTGTGATGTCTGTCGGTAACGGTCCAGCATTCCCGCCCAAAGCTGGTACTGGTGGTCCAGCCATGCCACGTGACCTTGTTACATAATCAACAGCAATTCCTCCATTAACAGAGGGACAAAAAGAAATAATTAAGGATAGTTAAAGAAGTGGGAACCAAGTCACACGAGACAAGTTAAAACAGTACCATTGTGTCCTTGATGATATTCTCTTCCCTTGAATTTTAAACACGAAGGCATTTTCAGAGCCAAATTTGTTGCCATCTTTAGTCCAATGTTCTGCATAATCCAACAACAGGCATCATCAAAAAATGTCGTGCACAGAAACAAAACCTAGGCTTTTAGGAGCCTGTGAGTGTTTATTATATAACGATTAGTATTATCCAACTGTTCTTTTCACATACCTGGAAAACTGTGTGGGCATCTTTTGTTTTTTCATCAGGATAAGGCAGAGCATATCTCTTTGGCCTCACATGTAAACATTCTGCTCGATCCCAGATCTTATATGGGGTATTTGTCACCTTTTTGACAGGCAACAAATTAAATATCTGAGAAAAATAAAGAAATAATAAAAACAAACATGTGTCAAAGCACTCGTGAAAAAGAAATTGTCCTGTGAAGTTCAAACAACTGGGCACAATATTTGAAAGGGGACACTTTGTGATTTGATTTAGTTATGATAGTTCTGTGATCAATACAAAACATGTGCGTTAAATGTTTATGTGCATTTGTTTATTTTATCCAAAGCGAGCGACGTACAGTTGTTAACCTATAGGGCACGTTGTGCTCTGTGGGGGAAACTGCAGTACCCGGAGGAAACACACGCATGCATGGGGAGAACACGCAACTCCATGCAGAAAGACTGCAGCTGGGTTTCAAACCTGCAACCTTCTTACTGCAACAGTGCTAACAACTGTGCCACCACGCAGCCAGACGTGGGACACTCGTTTAATCAATACTTTTACAATTGTCTCTAGTAGGAATGAATGCCGTGAAAGTCGTACTTAGGGGTGGGGGTATACCGGTGCACCATCTCCAGGAACTAGAAATGGCCCACATCACAACTGAGCTTCAGACGGCAGGTCTTAAGCCCTTTTCAGATAGACATTCTGGAACATGTGCGGACAATTCAATCCGGTATTTAACCGGAACTGTGTTTGCAGACACACCACTTTTGTACCGGAACTTGTCCTTTCGGCTGCGTTCACACAGCGGGGAAAAGTTCCAGATGTCTGACGGTGGTGGTGGTGGTGGTGGTGGTGGGGGGGGGGGGAGAATCGGACTTATGTTAAGAAGAAGAAGAAGAAAATATAATTTCTATAGCGCCCCTCAAGATAAAAATCACGAGGTGCTTAAGCATAATTCTGCGCACACGAAGACGCATAAGAGACCTGGATGATGAAGCTCAATGGTTAAAGGAATCACTGAGGCGGTGTGAAGCACTCCGTCGCGCGTCTAGGCGGTACCGTAGGAGGCGAGCTGCCGTGGTTCGCCGCATGCTACAGGAGCGAGTTATATAGGTGCGCACAGCGTCCCCCGGTCCCCTCCTCCTCCCCCTCCCCCTCCCCCTTGTCCGGAACTCTACCTCACCAGTCTGAAGCAGCCAGCCTGTCCGTAACAAGTCCGGACCTGTTACTAGGGGCTTCGTCCGGATAAATTCCAGAACACGTTATCCAGATGTTTGTATTCAGACACAAAGGTCTTACGGACAGAGTCCGGAACATTTCCGTTTTTCATGGCCTGTCTGAAGGGGGCTTTGGAGTCTTATTTCCTGATCATGGACATTTTCAGATTTAATTTGACGTCTACCTCAGAATTGCAACATGGATGTTTTATCTCAACAAATAACACATGCCTGGAGGAGCTTCTGCTGTGTGGTGAAGTTGCTAACACTGAAGGCTAGCTTCTACTAGCATAAGCATTCTCTGCTGTTTCCTGGACGCTAAACCAGGATAATCATGCCAACTTTTGACCAGCCCTGCCCCTCCAACGGCTTAAAGTAGGTCTTGATTACCACAAGGGCTCTAAAGATAATCTTATCAGATTGTGTGGTGTGTTATCAGCACTCAGGTATGCTTGGAAGGACGTTGGGACCACTCTGATCATAAAGCTTTGAAACATGTTGAGTTGTCATGTTCTGATTTTCGAGGACAAATGAATGCGCTGCCTGTGTAATGTGGCATTTAGCCAATCAGAAAGCGGAGTGATGGATGTGAAAAGCATCAACCTTGTTTTCTTCTTCTTACAAGATTTCCCGTCGGATCGCGGAACTTCCATGAAAGAAATTGGGTTGTGTGTAGTGTGTACTTTTGGATGAGTTGCTGTGATTCAGCTGTGGGAACCAGGCTTTAGGTTGTCTCCTTTATGCACTGAACTAATCTGTCCAATCAGCATTTTACAGAAAATATTAATTCAACTGAACAGAACTTCCTGCAAAACGCCGGCTTCAATTCTGGACTTAATAGAAATAGCATTTGTTGTTATTTGAATGATTTTTGTTATGAACTGGGTCTACACACAGCCGTCTTAATGCACTGGCCAACCGGGGCAGGGGCCAGGGGCAGATGATGTTTAGGGGCCTATCATGTCAGGTAAGAAAGAAAAACAAAAAACAGTGTTTTATAACTTGTCAGCTTTTCTGTCTATCTTAGATGCTGACTTAAGGCTGCTGATTGGTCCAAATTACGAGTGACCTACGTGACCTCGAAAAGCCCATTGGACCATGAGCTGACCAATCAAACTATTTAGATGATTTCAGGGCATGTTCCTCTAGACGTAAGGAAACTGGGAAAATGTGAAGAAGCTTCGAGATAAAGAATTAAGAGAAAGTGCCAAAGCTGACAGAAGAAGTTGAACGTGGCTCACACACCTGCAGACCAGGCTGCAGACACGGAGCAGACCGCGCAGCAGGGAACCGCTTGGTTCGGCCGTCTGTTCCATCATTGATGTGCGTTTCTCTTCACTGCCCAAGTGGCAAAAAGACGTGCACTAATCACAAGCTCGCTTCCGATGCGCTCTGCTTGACAACTGTTTGTGCAAACCGTCTCTTTGAACTCGAGTAGCCAAATAAACTGGTGAAGTTATATGCACCACGCCCGTGTGTTCATCAACTCTATAGTTTCTTGTTGATGCCAAAGATATGTGATGATTTAGCCTGTTATCCCGCAATGGAACTTTTATCACTGACTGAAGCTTTTCATTTCAAGCAGCTTGTTTCTGAACCTACCCACCAGAAAGGCCATATTTTAGATTTAGTTTTCACACTTGGCCTGGACACTTTGAATTTGTCTGTAAATGATGTCCATTTGAGTGATCACAGTTTTGTCTCATTTGATCTTAACTTCAGTCCTGAATCCAAGCTTCTAGAAAAAAGGTCCCTGAGACGTCTTATCACTGATAACAGTGCAGATAGTTTTTCTGACATGTTTGATCCTCTTTTATTTCTGGATTGTCTCGATGAGGATGTTTTAATGCACTGGATTAACGACCACGGTGTTGAAATTCTTGATCAGGTAGCTCCTGTTAAATCTAACGTATCGAAAACAAAGGAAATCGTGTCCTTGGATAAATGAAGAAATCCTAAGTCAAAAGAGGCTATGTTGAAAGACTGAACGCTTGTGGAAATCATCAAAATTAGAGGTCCATAGACATTACCTCTGGGATCTTGTGTCATCATACAACGAGATGGTTGAAAATGCAAGGTTTAATTAAATTTGTCAACTGGTAACCTCATCTAAGAAACATCCCAAAGTGTTATTTGACACGATAAATTCCCTTGTATGTCCTGCGCCTGCAGTTACCCCTGTTTTCTGTGAAGCAGATAGCAACATCTTTTTGAGATTTTTCACAGACAATATAGAGATGACTAAAGATAATATTTTGTCCTCCCCTGGTGGTTCTCCTTTAGTCTCTGAGCCCACCACTAGTATGTGGTGCTCTTTCAAGACTGTGACACTTGATGACATTTCAGTGCTAGTGGCTAAGATGAAGCCTTCACATTGTTCATCCGACGTCATTCCTTGTAGGCTCTTCAGAAAAGTGTTTGAGGTAATAGACTCGTGTATTACCAAAATGGTCAACCTCACTCGTGTTTCCCAACGCGCTTAAACATGCCATTGTGGAGCCACTACTGAAGAAAGTAGGTTTAGACCCAACTGACCTTGGCAACTATAGACCTATTTCCAAACTTCCGATTCTTTCTAAGATTGTTGAGAAACTGGTCAATGAACAGATGTCTACCTTCCTCAACCAAAGTAACATCCTTAAGCTATTTCAGTCTGGTTTCCGTGAACATCATTCTACAGAAACAGCTTTATTGAAAGTGTCCAGTGATGCTATGATGGCTGCTGATTCTGGAAAATGCACTGTTCTGATTCTCTTGGACCTTTCTTCAGCCTTCGATACAGTTGATCATCAGGTTTTGCTGATGAGACTGAGGGACCAAATTGGACTATCAGAGACAGTCCTTCAGTGGTTCTCCTCTTATTTATCAGAACATAGCTTTAGTGTTACAGCAAACCAAACAAGGTCACAATCTGCAGAATTGTTGAGTGGAGTGCCCCAAGGTTCCGTCCTGGGTCTTGTTCATTTCTTGTTGTATTTGACCCCTTTGGGTAAGATCAATCAAAGGTTTAGTGACGTTTCACTCCACCTATTTGCTGATGACATTCAGCTATACTGCTCTTTTAAGCAGTCTGAGCTGAATAAGTTAGACTCTTTGCTCCATTGTTTAGTGGGGATAAAGAAATGGCTTAATGAAAATTCCCTGCAGCTAAATGCTAACAAAACAGAAACTCTGGTTGCTGCCCCTGTTGGTTCTGTCCCGGAGATTAAGCAGTTCCTGGGTGATTTGGGCAGATCTGTGAAGTTAAGCTTTAGAAATTTAGGAGTCATCTTTGACAGTGAAATGTCTTTAGTGCAGCACTGTAAGCAGCTAACGAGACACTGCTTTTTTCAACTAAGGAACATCTCGAAGCTTAGATGTGTGGTGTCAAGAAATGATTAGGAGCTCCTCATTCATGCCTTTGTGTCATCCCGTTTAGACTATTGTAATAGTTTATTTTCTAGTCTGAACAAGAAGGAGCTCCATTGCCTGCAACTAGTGCAGAACTCTGCTGCAAGAATCCTGATGCGCACGAATAGAAGGTTTCACATATCCCCCATCCTAAAGCAGCTTCATTGGCTGCCTGTCTTTTAGGTTTAAGTTTAGGCCAGCGGCAAAGCCGTCTACGCGTTCTGTTCCATGGCGAAATCGAAACTTCCGTTGTTTTGCTTGGCTGTGTCAGGTTGGAGGGAATTAAGGTTATTTAAGCGGTTCAGAGTTAATAAAGCGGTAGATATGATGTTTCACAAGGTACTGCTAGAGTTATGTGAAATCTTACTTCTGATTTTACTATAAAACATAATAATAATCAACTTCTCATCCATGTTTGCTCGGAGATGTACGAGCATCCTGTCCGCTCATTGGTCAGTGAATGAAACCTCCGTTGATTGGTCCTCGTCCGAGCGACAGCGATGAAAAGTTGAATATTTCAACTTTCTGGGATCGCGTCGCTGGGTCGCCTGTGCACAACACGTGCACAAGCACAAAATTTCACACACACGTTTTTCGCGTTTGGCTTAGTAGGAGGGAGACCCGCGATTATCGCTTTGTCGCGCATGTCTCATTGAAAATGAATGGAGAAAGGGTCAAACTCTGGTAACCGGTAATGGTTGTACCCAATGTGCAGCAGTACCGGGACCGAGTGAATAGGGTGTGTATGGGGAGCATGAGTAGGTGTCCGGCGTGCATTTTTGCAAGTCTTTGGTTGTATGTACATGTGTGAGCATGAGGGAGGGAGTGTGTGACTGTGTTTGTGTATGACTGTATATGTCAGGTGGAGCCTTTGACTCCTCCCCTCTCCTGGGACTTCTTTTGATGATATAGATCGTCGTCTCCGCTCCCTCTGCCACACCTGGTGTGGTGCCTTGGTCTACCTGAGTGTTCGTAGCTCCCGGGTCAGGGGGTTTAAGATTTTTGGCATCTGCTTGATCAATCCCGGTGGCTGCCTGGTGGGGTCTGGGTCCCTGGGCTCTGCTGGGTCCCCGGCGGGGGTGGTCGCCCCTGGGTCCCGGGCTCGGCTTGCTAGGGGGTGGGAGGCTGCGGGCGGGCTTGTTGGCTTGCCGCTGATATCTCCTGGGACTCTGCCAGCTGCTGATTGTGGTCCCCCAGGGCGATCCTCTGTGCCTCTCGAGGGGGGCGGGGGCCTTCCTGGTCGCAGTTTCCTTGGGGTTCCTGTGTTCTGGGGCAGCGCCTGGATCTCTGGGACTTGGAGCTCCCTCCGTCTCCTACACATCTTTGGGGAGCGGATCTGTGGTCCCTCACACTCTCTATTGGACGTTTTTATAGAGAAACCTTACATAAACAAGTGCGTGTACACACACAGGTGCTCACATGGTGCTCTCAAAAGTATGGGTTTGGGCACGTTCAACACATGTCTTAAGGCTGTCGTTGCCACTAAATGCACTGTGATTTATTATCGTGTGATTGTTCAGTTAAACATTGTTGATTTTATATTTCATCATCAGGTTGACGCAGTGATAGCTTGCTCCTGATGTATTGTTGTGTGTCCCATTTTGTTTCTGCTCTGTCTCTTTCTGCAGGTCTAGAAGTATACTCTTGTTCATTATTGTTTATTTTTGTGGAACCCCACCCCCTCCCCCCTCTCTTCCCACCTTTTGTATTTTCCTTTCTCTTTCACCTCTGTCTCCATGTCTGGTCGGAATTACAAAGCATTCAAAAACAATAACAATAAAGTTTTAAGTATCAGGCATGACCAGGCCCCCACAATGCATTTTATGATTAGAGCAGATTAAAGCTGCTCAATGGGATGAAAATTTTGTTGGAATTGTTATTTTTGAATCAGAACCCTAAAAGAGGAACCAACTTCATTTTGATACAAAACAAGCAATAAAACATTTATGCATAAACAACGTAGCCAAATGAATAAGAGAATAAAATTTCTAATTGAAAAATTTGCATTTGAAAGAACTTCCAGAAGGTAATTTGTAATTTAAAGAACATAATGATAATGTTGAAGTAACAATAAGTGTGCTATAGTTGTAAAAATGCACACACACACACACGCACACACACACACACACACACACACACACACACACACACACACACACACACATAGTTTTTAAGCATGTGTCGTACACGTATTGACATTGATTCTAGGGCAGAGTGCAGTAAGAGAAGGTTTTAGGGCAGGGATCCTGCAGCAGGGGGATGGGGTGCTGCTGCAGTTTGGATCGCTGGCTGTAATGAACATAACACACAAGCTTGCAATATAAAGAACAGCCTGTCCCCCTCCAGCTCGGCTGTGTGACTGCACTAACCTGTCCTGTGAGACCCTCACCCTTTAACCCTCATGTCCATGCTGTCTCTGGAGGAGCAGATAGGAGACAAGACCTCCTGTAACTTAAGATGAACCAAAGCTTCCTCCCAATTTCTCTTTAAGCTGAATTTAACATCAGTTTATCATCATGGAACAAAAGAATAAAGTGGAACAAGAACTTCTATCTTCTATTTCTCTCTCCTTTTAACTTCTCCGTGTTCCTAAATAAAAGAGACAGACGATCACGCTGCAGCCGCCGTCATTGACCCCGCCCCCTCCCCAAGACCGGATCTCCCGACATCACAGCACTCGGTCTAACTGAGCGCTTCCAGGAGAAACAATAATGAAGTTATGAAAATAATAACGCGTGTTTGGAGGAGCGTCCTCCAATCCTCTCTCTTGTGTGAGCAGACCATCTCTCTCTCTCTGTCTCAGTCGCTGATCGAGCGAGCGGAGCGCGCCGCGTGACAACCCGCTCAATTAACATGATTTACGGCCCAAATCCAACAGAACCGGTTGGGCTGATTTGATTCGGGTCCGGTCTCAGGTTACAACTCCAGCGCTCAGCCCTGCAGTACCACATAATGGCAGATCCAAGTTTCCTACCCGGTAAACGTGGAGAACACCGCTCCACTATCATTGATTATGGTTCTCTTCTATGATGCAGAACCGCTTATGCCCGCATCTCATGCATTGATTATTTGATGGTCGTCCATCATGGGTGGGGGGTGCGCGCGGGGTGTGGGGGCCATAAAGAGAGGGCTTACGGGCCGGACGTGGCCATGGGCCGCCATTTGCGGACCACTGTTTTAGGGGCTGTGGGGGGCCTACTGAGCCTCTCTGCCCCGGAGCCTTTCAGCTGGTTAAGGTGGCCCTGGTTTTACATAAATAAACCAAACTGAACATATCTGAGACGACTTTCAAAATATTAATGGAACATTTCCTATCAGCATTGTTGCCTACAGGTTTACTGTCTCAGTGAAACACACCTGGCTGAATAAAGGTTATAAAAAAAAGAAAAACATTCAGTAGTTACCTTGTCAGCATCCAGAGTGACCGCTTCCTTGATGAGAACACTCTGGTCAATGGCACTGACACCACACAGAGAATCTGGCTGGGCAGTCACCTTCATGTTGGCTTGCTCTCCTGGTACAGCTGGGAATGGAGAAATGTCCAGCAACACCTGATATGGAAACAAAAACAAAACACACCTGAGGCCATATGGATACTAGGAAATTAAAAATGTGGCATGGTGTCAGATAATACTGATGTGCTATGTGGGGTACTCTCAAGGCCGGATTAACCATATGGGCAACTGGGCAATTGCCCAGGGCCCACGAACTCTAAAGGGCCCAGAGCAGCAAGGGCACCAGCAAAATACTGCATCTGTAATCTCCCGCTTTATATTAAACTAGGGTGATAGGTACGTCCTCTCTTCCCTGGACATGTCCACTTTTCACTCTCTGTCCGGGGCGTCCGGACTGGGGGTTCTTGTATTGATGAAAATGTCCGGCTTTTCATCCAGGAGCAGGGATCGAATTATGGGGGAGCTGTATATCCTACACATCCAGGGGAGCCGGAAAAAAGTTTTCTACCTATATTACATCATTTATGGACTCTTTTGAGCAGAGAGCACAGAGAGCGGCACAGCGCGTTGTTGTGCAGCACGGCCCATTCTCAAAGTGGCGCAACCAAAAAACTATGATTAGCACACGATCGTTCATGTCCGCACATGTTCTCTACTTTCTGTCTTATTTGTGCCTGAAGCGCTCTGCTACTGCGGAGCTCATCACCTGTGCTGCGGTGATTTCACCTCACTGACGCAGCATCGAAACGCGCTCTCCACTTTGTGGTCAGGAGATCCCTTTGGTCTGCTCAAAAGTAACCGATGAGGTGAAAAAGTAAGAATCCAGGCAGCAGTTTTTCTGGAGAGTTTAGAGGAGATGCAGGAAGATGAGAGACAGACAGGACAGGAAAATAGTTAAATAAAAACAAGAAAACAAAACAAAGTGTTGAAAAGTAAAATGTAGGTAGATTTATCTCCACTACACGTTTTTACCTGTATAAAGCAACAAGTAATATTGTAATATGTATACATCCGATACAATTCAGATCACCTTCAAAACTCAGTCACACACCCAGGGCCGTTTCAAGACATTTTGGGGGCCAAGGCAAAATGACCCCCCCCCCCCCCCCCATAACTGGGCTCCCCAGAAGCCTCTGTGTAATTCATACCCTGTCCAGTAGTGTTAGTTATACAGTGTTTATAAAAGCCCCTCAGACATGACTGACATGTTCTAATATTATCAGATGAAAAACTAAATTATCAGAGAGTCAGTCTCATGCAGACTGACCAATGAAGAGAGGGCCTCAAGTTAAGACCCTCTCCTCATTGGCCAGTCCACACGAGGTGGGTCAAAGGTTACCCTGAGCGAGTTACGTGATGTCAGACATTCAAGTATTGAGTATATTTACTGCATATTACAGTAAAATATTCTGTATGTGACCATATTATGGTGATCGTTGGGTCGTGATGATGGGACCCTTTAATATTGTTGCCCAGGGTACAACAAAGTGTTAATCTGGCCCTGGGTACTCCGATGTTCTGTTTTGAGTCCACTCCTGTTTGTATAATTAATTGATTATAGAGCAGAAACAACTAATCGATTTAATCGATTATAATCGACTATTAAAATAGTTAACAACTTTTTTAGTCATCGATTAGTTGTTTAATAATCATATTTTACCGCATAAAGTCTATTTTTTACCACAATCTGACATCGGTTACAATCTGTTCAATTTGCCGCCAGTGTGTGGCAGTAATGAGCCACTGATCTACCAGTGGAGCCGTAGAAGAAGAAACAATAAGTGCCCTCGGTTTTCATGACGTAACACGTTACTGACGCTCATCTTGCTGTGAGAGATGGCGGAACAAGAAGAAAATCGGAAGAAAAATAGAAGCGACAAAACAATAGAAACCCCGGACAAAAACCTCACGAGTATGGGAGATGCCATGAAAAGACGGGTGACCTGCAAAATATGCAAAAACCATCTAGCATGGCGCGGAAGCACGACGTCCCTAAGTGAACATTTGAGACGAAAACATGTGGGGGCTGATGCAGCAGAGGAAGCGCCAGCCCGGTAAGTAACAGAAAATAAGCTAAATATAGTGGTCCATCACTACACGCCGATGAAATTTGGGACTTAGTGTTTAAGCTGAGTTCGTTATAGTGGATGTTAAACATGTTTTTTGCGGCGTCAGTTTACGGTGTTCTACTTCTGATTGACTAGATGCAATCGTGAATCTCCTCCGTGTTGTGTATCATGCGCTTGCCAAATTTAGCACGTCTGTTTATAAGAATGTTCTCGTTAAGAGAAAAACGGCACAAACCCATAACTATGTTCCTCATTCAAAAAAGGACAACTCCGCGGTGAAAAATATACAGACGAGCTGTGTCCAGGTGAATATAACGCGGCATAGTTGTACGCTTTCAATTTTTAAATACAGGAGAAATTCAGAAAGTCATTTTTTTTACTATTAAAAGGCTGTTTTACTATCTAACGCTGTAAAACGCCTCACAACACATTTTTGTCAAAATAAATGATCACTGTATATTGTTAATTAATTCAAATAATATAATATTGATTTAGTGTTGTAGTGTTTGTGCTGCTTTATTTTATATGTGTACTTATTTCAGTCTATTTGTGTTTCTCATGCAGAAAAAAAAAACAAGCAATGATGGACAACTACATGGGGAACAAGACACTCACCCCCCAGCAATGCATACCACTTACAAACTCTATTCTAGATTCTACATTGTTTTTTATGGAATTTACCTCTTATATTTTGATGCCAAAAATTATTCTGGACTGATATTTTGCACTGTTTAGCTCATTTTACACTGCTGACTGTGTTCATGTACAATAAAATAGATTGCAGTCAACTGCACAGTTCTCCTATGTTTTTCTTTTTCTTATCTGAAATGTATTCATTACTTGTATAGGTTAAATAGCTAAAAAACAACAAACCGATTAATCGAAGAAAAAAATAATCGACAGATTAATCGATTATGAAAATAATCGTTAGTTGCAGCCCTAATTGATTAACTATTTAAAAAATAATTTATGAACATTATTGTGATTTTCAGGGGCTTCAAAGCACTTACCAGTACAGTCATTCACACACGGGTGATAAGAAACGTTGTGGCTACAGTTGCTGAGTGGCAGACGTACAGCAGGGAGGCTGCCACACAGCAACTGTCCAAGGACACGATGACTGACACAGATTGAGCCTGGGTTCAAACTGGCAATTCATCGATTGCAAGGCAAACTCCTAACCCCTGAACCACTGTCACTAATATTAAACATATGGACAGCTCCTTCAGAGGCAGACTGAGACATCCAAGATAGAAAACAGAACCCTGCCGCAGGTCATTCATCCCCTCTCCAGTAAGAGTGTAGAACCCCTCAGTTTAACTGGTACTGGCATCATCCTGGTACACAATAACACCAATGCAATATTCAGTATGTGTTCAACACTCGTGCAATTCAGGATGCACATTTTTATGTCTGTGTCTCTTATGCTGCATAGTCCTGGAGCCCAAGTTTCCTTTTTATTAGTTGTTTTTAGTGTTTGAAGGTTACAATAATAACTTATTGCCTTTGTGTGTTTACCAGTAATTTTGGTATTATTTTTCTTCTTCCTTTTCTCTAAGTGTGTGTGCTGCTGTGATGAATGAGTGAATTTTCCCACCGTGGGAAAAATAAGGTCTTTCTATTCTATTCTATTCTATTCTATTCTATTCTATTCTATTCTAAAAATAAATCAGTTCATAAACGAACACAGAAAGACTAGAGAGCATGGTTCCTCTAATCAGTCAATAAGTTGGTCATTCATATTCTGCAGTCAAGCGTGAAGAGTTTGGCTGGTGCTTTGGCATATTGAGATAATTTGAAGATAACTCAAAACAACTTGTGGGAAACCAATTTTTCTCCATCTATCTGTCGGTTTGTTTGATCATTTATTAATTAATTCATATGTTCACTTCAGCCTAAGCAGAGAGGCCAAGATTTC